GACTTAAACATCTAAGAAGTGAAATGACGTGTTCCCATGTTCAAAAATAGTAACTTACTCAATATACATTTCAGATAGATGTAAAAGTGTAAACTTTCTATTTCTGTCATCCTCAGAAAATAATTGCCATCCTCAGAACTGTAAATCTGTTTAAAACACAAGTTAATATCAAAATGAAACAATCTTTTTAAAATATACACAATATGATTAACTTTGTTATTATAATAAATTTGAATAATTGCATAAATTACAAAATTATTAATAAATTTGGGGACCTACATTGACCACCCTCACCCCGTTTACCAAAATAAAATATTTGCTGCGAGTGTTTTTTGAAGGGAATCCACTTTTCAGCCACTGTTTGTGCGTCCCCATGTCACCCACTTTCCTTGTCCGTACTGTGTGGACGCGGATGTGGTTCCCCCCGCTTGCGGGGGGGGTCAGGGGGGATCCGCGCCAAGGGAGGACTTGGAAAGTGGGTAAAACGGTGCACAAACAGACTGTTTGAGTGCGTCTTTATGAGCCTTCTTTTCAATGCTCCGTCTTTCTCGGTTTCCACTAACTCGAGGTGAATTTTCGGCATTTTTTGAATTCGGGAACCAGACCTAATATTATCCCAGTTTCCTATTTACTATAATTTTAATTTGAATATGATTCGAAATAGAAAAAATAAATCTATTTTAAGAGGTGGTGGTGGTCAATGTAGGTCCCATAAATTTGTTATTTAAAAATTACATTTTTAGAAAATCAGTGTTTTCGACTTTTTCAATTTTCATTTTGATAAAAAAACAATTATCAATTTAAATGTAAATTCAATTATTATGTTATAAAGACGGATTCGGAAATAATTTCAATAAGTATATAATCATAATATGAACAAGTTTAATTCATGTTTTGTTATTTCCCGTCTCAAGTTCGCGAGATATAATTATTGTTTTTGTTTACTGATTATTGTGGCGATTTTTTTGATTGTATTTAATTTTTTGGCATTTATGACAAATTATTACCATTATTTAAAATTTAACTTTGACCCGAAATATTAAGTGTAAATTATAACTTGAGTTATGAAAGTGGGTCTTATAGGGAACTGAACCTTATGGATTTGATTTTTGTATCCTCAGAAAAATATTTTTTAATAAGGATAGCTTTAATCCTGAGGATACACCTTATCCTCAAGAAACCCTTAAATAATATATAAACATATAAAATTTAAAATTAATTCACTTGTTTCATAAAAAAATATAAATACACTTTAAAAGAATTTATAATAAACATCTTTTTATGATTTTAACATAATAAAAATGTAATGTAAAGTCGGTCTTTTCATGTTATCTTGTGTTCAAATAAATTAGAAAAAAAATGTAAACAAAGACATTTAATATAAGTTACAATTTTTATTTTTTTTAAATGTGTTAGGTCACTCACATGATAAACTTTGTAACAGATCAGAATTATTTATTAATTTAAGATTTACACTTTTTTGTTTATTAATTATTAAAATTATTAAAATACAACTTTTTGTTATATGTTATGAATTTATATACAAATTAAATAATAATATGTTTTTTTATATTTTCGATTAACAAATAATAATTAAAACGACTTATTTCAATTCGCTTTGTTGTATATATGTTCCAACTTTTCCACTACAACATCCATATCAGGTCTTTCTCTTGGGTCTTGTTTCCACATTTCTTCAATGAGAGCTTTCTGTTCTTCATCTTCCAATTCGATCTGTGGTCGTTTTCCACTTGAAATCAAATTAGTGATATCCCAACTGTATGGGAATAACTTTTCATCGAATGGGTCTTTCCAAGTTAAGCACTCCAAAGTAGTAATAGCGAACGAATACACATCAGCCGCAAGTGAATATTTTTCAACATTGGTGATTTCAGGCGCCATGTACTTTGGCGTTCCGATCCCCTTTGTATACATCATATTATCACAAAGACTGTTAATGTTTCTTGACGCTCCAAAATCAGTCAATTTTCCATTGATTTCATCATTAAAGTCAAGTGAAGTTACAAGTGTGTTATCCGACTTAATATCTCTGTGAAGAGTGTTATTTGCGTGTAAATACTGAATTCCCTTAGCTGTGTCTAATATCAATTTAATTCGCATTTTTAGTATAACTTCATCGGCCTTTTTGTGTTTCATTAAGTCTTGTAAGCTGCCATATTTAGCCAATTCAGTGACCATACATATTCTATTTGGTATAAACGATGCACCATAGAATCGAATAACATATGGACTCACAAATTTGGCTAACATAGCTACTTCCTTCCCAAATTCTTCCATCTTCTTATCCATCTGTTTCTCAGCAGCTGTTTTGTCTCTCACTGTTGCTGACAAGTTGCCTGTCGTGTTATTTTTGGTCATATTTTTTGTTGTGTTTTTAGTCAAATTTCGACTTGAACTTTCGACAGTCGAATTCTTTGTAAACCCTTTTGCTCCCAATTTCGCGACAACCATTTCCTTCATCTCTTTGATAGCTACAACATTCCCTCGATATGTTCCTTTATATACAATTCCAAAAGACCCTTCTCCTAATTTCTTGTCTTTCTTTAAGTCGTCTGGATCAAGCGCCATTGACTCT